AGGAAGGAAGGAAGGAAGGAAGGAAGGAAGGAAGGAAGGAAGGAAGGAAGGAAGAAAGGAGGAAAGGAAGAAAGGAAGAAAGGAAGAAAGAAAGAAAATTCGGAGAGAAAATGTTCAAGCTCTGGATTTAAGATTCTCATTATTTAATGTAAAATAATTCTATAGTTACCAAAAAGTTATATCTTACATAAGCTCTGTGTAGCTCTATTATAAAGTTTAGGTATGTCATGCTGTTTAATTTTTAATGATTTTAGTCCCTAAATTCTTTCAGTTACCAATTGAAAAAAAAAAAAAAAGTTGTATGACTATGTATCTTCAGATAATGTATTTGTATAAATTCATAGGTATAAAAATGAGTGGTACTAAGAAAACAAAAAGTCCTGTAACTGAATAAGAAATTTTATAACTCTTAATAATAATGTTACGACTGAGGGAAAAAATGTGACCAGACTGTCCTACAATAGTACATTAATTTATTGTCCTTCAGGTTTTCTTCAAAGTCAAAAGATCTTGTTTTTCATTTAGGAATTATTATGAACCAGAATTACTTTTCTTATAAACAAAATAACCACAGTTTTCAAAAGAAGTTTTCTTTTTCTAACCCAAGAAGACCCAAGTAGATCAGATTTCCCCCAGTACTTTCTAAGTGTTCATTTCTGGCCAAAGATTCTGTGATAAAGGCTGAATTTGGGGAAGATTTAGCCCTAGGGTAAAAAAAGCTATCTAAAGGAAATGATAGTGTAATTTTAAGAATATTTATAGCTTTGGGTACTAATTTATTCTTTTAAACTGGCTGTAGTTTGACTTAGTCTAAAATATACCAACCCTACTAAATTTATATTGGATGATTGTTCAGCTATTCCATATGCACAGAAAGGTGGTATGGCATGGTGGTGAAATGCTCAGACCCTGGAGCCTCACTTGTCTGGTTCAAATCCCAAATCTGCTACATTCTTGCTACATCACCCTGGGCAATTGCTTAAACACTCTATTGTTTTCTCGACTGTTAAACAGGAATAATAACAGTTCCTGTCTCAAAAATAAATTGGCACATGGAAAACAAAGTTGTGCCCAGAAAAGAGCAAGCACTGTTTGCTCTTAGTATTATTCTGTCTTTATATTGTGCTGTTTCGTGACTTTTTTCTCTGAAACATCTCTTTCCTCTCCTCCCTCCTCCCTCGCTCCCATCTCTTGGACTATCATTCATCTTCAGGGCACCTTTCCATTACCTAACACTGCCCACTGGTTCCTCCCACTAGATCCCTGGATCTTCACAGAAATGCTCAATAACTGTTGAATAAATGAACCAGACTCCTTTAAGGCCCCTCCTTCCCGCCCCTGGCCCTCTGACCCTCTCCTGCAGTGGGCAGGGTGCCTTCCTCCCTGCTCCCAGGGGCCCTGTGAGTACCAGTCGCCCAGTCAGCGCTGTGGGTTACGCTGCTCTCCCCCGGGAATCCGACTCCTGAGCCCAGTGATGCTGAGACAGCGCATGGTGAGTGCAGACTCATTCCCATGCGCTCCCTGAGCTCACCGTCCACCGGTTCCTCCCGCCCACGGCCCTGGATCTACCCTTCCCAGGGCTGCTCAGCAGCTTCCCCTTGGATTCCGTGAGCTAACCTATATTCCTCCAACAGATTTCTTTTCTGTTTAATTAAGCAGAGTTTGTTTTCATTGATTGCAATCAAACTCTAGTAGTGGTTGGACTTGCAAGTTCCACTTTAGCTATGGTTTATGCGTGTAAACCAAGCCAGCAAAAAAAGGAAAGAACTGTGGAAAAAGTCGTGTGTGTGTGTGTGTGTGTGTGTGTTTCTACTACATGTATAATTGCACAAGAGAAAATAGATTTTGTGCTACAATATACAGGGGTGGGAAAAAGTAGGTTTAGAGTTTGTGAATATGCAAAACAACGTTTATTTTTGTAGTATTATTTATTCATTAATTATTGTATTATTTATTATTATTAACCTACTTTTGTCCATCCCTGTATATAAAGTGAAAACAAGCCAACCATGATTTTATTATGGAAATCTATATGTTTTAAGATGGTGAAACTTTAATTACTCAAATGTGAGCTCTCCTTTCATATTTAAAGTTGTCATACTCTTTTATAAAAATATATTATGCAATATTACAGGTTTCTTTCTATAGTATACTTTTTAAACTTAAGTTCTTTGTTAACTGGCCTGACATATATTTCCCTTAAATTTAATATTTAAGTTAAACTGGTTTATTTATGTAGGTAATGGTAAAACAATAAAATTCAAATTCATAAATTAGAGAAAATAATATGCAATTGTAGCTTAATTTATTACAGTAAACTACAAATACATTACATTTTATGAATACAAATATATGCATAATTCTATGTAAACACTATGTTAATAATTCCACGATGAACTTTAGCTATTATTTAATTTTAAATTATACTTAATAAATTAAGCTAGCAAGCTTATAAAAAGTGTTCATTTTAAAAAATACTTCTTAAAATTCCTTAAGAATTAGCCTATAAGAACAATCATCTATGTTCTCTCTGAAAAATATTTTTGAAGATCACAATACAAAGGTCTTCAATAAATAATTTGGGGGGATTTTCCCCATCTCATCCTTTTGATTGTGAAGTTTTATTTATTTTTCTTTACTTTTATTGTTGACACTATTACAGATGTTCTCATTTCTCCCCCCCTTTGCCTGCCTCCACCCAGCCCCAGCCCCCTTCCCTCTGGCCATCCCACACTGATGTCTGGCCTATGGGTAATTCACAGGTGTTCTTTGGCTAATCCCTTCAGCTCCTTTCACCCCGTCTCCCCCTCTCCTCTGACAGCTGTGAAGTTTTAAAAGGTGTAATCTGTTTAACCCTTTGGCTGGGGGGCAGGGTGGGGAATGTATTCTTTGCAGGCAGAATGTTACATTGAACACTGGAAATAATTCTAAGGCAGTATTTATAATGGTAGCAAAAAATAACCTAAAAATTTACCAAGAAGTCTTCACAATACTTATAATATACATTTTGTATTAAACAAGTACATAGAGGAATTTTCTGGTAGTCAACCTCTCTCTATGTTTGGCATACTCTTAAATTTAAAAAGAAATGCATACGGAGGGAACACTAATTTTTATTGCTATGTACATAGTATTTACAACTAAACAGAAAGAGAAAAGACGAGAGCCTGGTGTCATCTCCCTTCCCTTATTTGAGGTGGCTTTGCCTTCCTTTCATCCCCTGACCTGTGTGGAACAGCCTGGAGCACGGGTGTTCAGCAGGAGTTGACGTAGGGGGTATGTGTGTGTTGTTATTTAGCAAACACTTTCTGATAACAGTAAAATGGTCCTTCATGAGTTGAAAAATCTTTCAAAAGATGGTCCTGGTTTCCTGCTTTCAAATTCTGGGCTTTTTGATTTGTGAAAATTACTAGAAGTGTGTGTGTGTGTTTTCCATTTATTTATCTGACTTTTGTTGCTATTCTTTTTCAGTTTTCAACTGAGGGGGGACTTTAAAAAAACAAAAAATACTTTTCTATTGTTTGCAAGA